TAATTACTTTTATTATTTTATTATTAATGATAATAATAATAATAATATTAATTATTATTTATTTGTCTTAAACCCTAAAACTCCAGTCTTTCCTTTCCTTTGCTTAATGTGTCTCTGCTTTAAACTACAAATCCACATTCTCACCTCTAGCACCTCAGTTTGGAAGCCTTTTCCAAGGTCTCAGATCAAATCCTGGGTTTAATTCTAAGCTTTGGCTCACGGGCCCAAAGTTCTGAGAATTCCCGGCATTTTGGATTCCAACATCTCTTTTCCTTGGCTTTCCTGAGGTGCCAGACTGGGACAGGGAAGGGCAGGAAGGTGGAAGAAAAAAAACCAGGAATGGAAAGAGGAATGGTGGGAGCAGGGGTGAACGTTTGCCATAGAAACCACTCCTCTTTCTTGCCGTGCTTCCCTGGATAATTCCAGCCTGGATAAGGCTCCCTGATCCTTTGGTTCTGGTGGAAGGTGTCCCTGGCCACGGCAAGGGGTTGGAATGAGATGATCCAACCCAAACCATTCCAGGATTTTGGGGTTTCAGTCCAAACACCTCCTTCCTGATGGTGACACTGAAGTGAGTGCAAGGAAAGAGCTTCCGGAGGAGTTTGGCTTCCTTATTCCAATAGAAAATGGGAGCGTGATCCAGAAGTTTCCATAAATAAGAATAGTGTTTTATTTTGCCCAAACAAAAAAAAAAAACCAAAACAAATTGGGATTGGGATAAATCCTCCAATAAAATTCACACGCAGCTGGCAGAAAGGAAAGCTTTGAGAAATCCCCCTCAGCTTCAGAGATTTGGGATTCTTGTGTCATTCCTGCTTTTTTCCTGAGCACTCCCTTACTCTCTCCAGACCCTACCGGGATCCATGGGATTGATCCTCATGGAAACGTCTGGTGACTCTTTGGAAAACCCGGTGCATTCCATGGATGTTCAGGGAATACTGGAATACCTGAACTTTGCATCATCCATTCCTGGAAGCCAGGTGGCTTCAGAGCCCTTCTCCTGCTTTTTTTTTTTTTTTTTTTTGGAATCATGGCCTTTTTTTTTTTTTTTTTTTTTTTTTTTTTTTCTTTTTTTTTTTTTTTTTTTTTTTTTTTTTTTTTTTATGGAATCATGGATTGGTTTCCATCCTCTAAAATTGTCAAGCCCACACTTTAAACCCCAAGTGTCACATGGATAATAAATCCCTCCAGGAATGGGGACTCCAAACCTCCCTGGGCAGTTCCAATCCTTGGCCACCTTTTCCATGAGGAAATTCCTGCTGATGTCCAACCTGAAGATCTCCTGGCCATTCCGTCTCCTCCTGTCCCTGTTCCTGGGGAGTGGATCCCAGATTTTCCCCCGGCCGTCCCCTCCTGTCAGAGCCAGGAGGTGCCTCAGGAGCCTCCTTTTCTCCAGGATCCTTGGTGGGATTAAGGGAAGAATTCCTGAAGCGAGGCAGAGATTCCTCTCTTCCCGCAGCAAACACCAAAATTGGGCTGATGGGAAACATTCCCAAAATGTTCATTTCTCCATGCTGATTATATGGATAACATGGATTTCTCTGGGGATATCCACGATCCCAACACCAAAATCCGGCTGAGGTGACACTTCCACAAGACCTCGTGGAATTTTCTTTCCTGCTCACCCACCCTCCCCCTCATTCCTTTTCCTTGGAAAAGCCTCACATCAGGAGTTCCTCGGACTCTGCCCTTTGGAAATTCCCAGAGGTGACAGCAGGACCTTGTTGGGGGTGTGCTTTTCATGGATTTGCTTCCCTGGGTTCAGTCCAAGAGGGAAAGATCCTTGATGGGATTAAGGGAAGAATTCCCGAAGCGAGGGAGAGATTCCTCTCTTCCCGCAGGAAACACCAAAATTGGGCTGATGGGAAATATTCCCAAAACGTTCATTTCTCCACATAGATTGTACGGAGAGATGTGATCCCAACACCAAAATCCGGCTCAGGTGACGATTCCACAAAATCCTGCGGAGTTTGTTTTCCTGCCCATCCACATCCACCCCTCATCCTTTTCCTTGAGATTACCTTGGAAAAGCCACAGACCTGACTTTGCCCTCGGCAAATTCCCAGAGGTGGCAGCAGGACCTTGCTGGGGCCGCGTTTTCCATGGATTTGCTTCCCTGGCTTCAGTCCAAGAGGGGTCAGGCGGTTCCTGATATTCCCGAGGGGGTTTTTCCAGGAGCTGCTTAACGAGGGACGAGAATGTCCCACAAATGTCCCACAAATGTCCCACAGGAGCCCGGGACTCAGGTCACTGCTCCCGCTGCCGGAGGGCTGAGCCGGCACCATTCCCCTTTCCAGGTTTTTCCATGGGCTCCACATTCCTGGGCACTGGGGAGGACCGAGGGAACAGCCCAATCCCTCTCCAGGCCGGCTGGGAATGTGTCTAACAAACGCTGGAGCACTCAATTTTTCCTTCTGTTTTCCATGGGAAGCTAATCCAGAGAGAAAACTGGGAGAAACCAGCACCAGGAGCAACTTCAGCTGGAAGATTTCCCAAATCCAGCTTAATTTCCCATCCCAAACAAGCCCAGATTCCTTAAAACTGGGTCTAAGATCCCAGACAAGATCCCCTCTAGTGGGAATTTCTGGAATATGTGGAGATCCTGGAATTTACTCCAGGTCCTGGCTGGGAGATTTTTCCTTCTCCAGGACCAGTGTCACCCGAATCCAAGAAAATGAGCGATCCTGTCATTATTCCCTGGATTTCTGAGAATTAAATGCAACTTTTGCCATCTGGAAATCCGGGACAATAAATCTAATTTGCCACTAAAAATTCCTTCCCACGGCTGTGGCTTTTCCAAGGCAATCTCTCCATCTGCTGGTGGAAAAGCAACTCCCAAGGTGCTGGAATTACTCCGGGCTGGAATTTTCCACCTTTTTTTTCCACTCCTGGCCTCCAGATCCCACTAGAACAGGAAAAACATCGATTTTGGGCTGGGAATTTCTTCCCTCTGTTTCCACTTCAGGAATTGGGATGAATTTTATGGGCAGGGTGATCCCTGGAAACTCTAGGAATGGATTCCCTGATCCCAGGAATGGATTCTGATCCCAGGAATGGATTCCCTGATCCCAGGAATGGATTCTGATCCCAGGAATGGATTCCCTACATTTCACTCCCATTCTGATAATTCCAAACCCAATTATTCCCAAAGAATATTTTTTTTTTTTTAAATGGAGAATCCCTTTTTTAAAATCAATAAGACAGTCCCACAAATCTTTTGGAATATTTGTTTGGAAAAAAGGGACTGAGGTGGATTTTAAAGGATTCCCCAATCCCAATGAATATTTTATTTCAGATTTTGATTATTTTTAACAAGATAGGGATGGAAGTGGGATGAGGGAGAAGGAATTCCATGGAAAAGAGAAGGAGTGGATTTTCCTCCTGGAAACCTTTGGATCGGGAATAAATCCACTCCTCTTCCCTCTCCAAATAGAGCCACATCCCAAATTTCCAGCACGATTCCAACTGCAGGACAGGAATCTGAGTTTTCCTGCCCCAATCCCACTTGGATCCCATCCTGGAGTTTTTGAGGCATAAATATCCTTTCCCAAAATTCCCGTGGATCCAGCAGATCCCAGGGAGCAAAGCCTGAATCCAATGGAAAAATCTTTTTTTTTTTTTTGTCATGGTTCCTGATTATAAAAGTCCTTGAAAAATTTGGATTGGGATGGAAATTCCAAAGAAATCCAATCTTTATATCCCTATTCCCACTTTTCTATCAGTGCCATTCCAAGGATGGAGATTTAGGGCTCCTCTGTGTCCAGGTGCAGAATTCCCAATGTTGGAATTCCAGATTTCCCTGGATCATTCTCTTCCCCAACATTCCCAGGCTTCCGAACATCATTCCCAACGTCTCTCCTTAGGTTTTCCGCCTTTTCAGGGGCTCTGGAATTTTGGGACATTTTGGAGCTGGGCGACCTCACTGAGACAGAAAATTCCCTTCAATTTTCCAGGCTCATTTCCCACCAGGATGAGTTGGGTGGGACAGAAGGGAAAGGAAAATTGGGAAAAGTGGGAAAAATCTTGGCACTGATTCATCCAGGTTGGAAAAACAGCTGGAAAACAGCTGAAAACAAAACAAAGCAAAAATCAATTAAATATCAAATAAATGCCATTCCTGGGGATAAAGGATTGGAGGGAATTCTCCCTATAGAGCAGACAGTTCCAGGATATCCTGAATTTTAATTATCCCAAGATTTTCCATGTTATCCCCCAAAAAATCCAGAGTTAAATCCCCCCAGCTGGAAATTTTAAGGCAGAAATTGCTGGAATATTCCCAATAGGGCTGGAAAATGCCGCTCTGGATAAATCCACTCCACAGGAATTCCTGGGAAGGGAGGCAATAGCAACCACATGGAAGCAGAGCGGAATTCCTGGTCTCAGAGCTGCCCTTCCTCAGCAAAAAAGTTGGAAAAATGTTGATAAATCTCCTGGAAAAGATGGAATTCCTGGTGTTTCCAGCAGCAATCCTGGGAAAGGGGCACTGGAGAAGGAAGGAAAAATTCCCATGTGTCCAAAAACCTCTTGGAATCCACAGGAGCCACACCTTGGAGAATTGCATCCTTTGGGATTTTCCCAGAATTTACATCATCCCTGAAATTCCCCACGAGGAGGTGCTGAGTGCCAGGAAATCTTTCTCCAACTTCTCCAGCTCCTCCAGGAGAAGAAATTCAGGATGAATCCCATTCTCCTTTAGTTTGGATCCTTATCCCTGAGCATCCCCCTGTTTATCCAACGTCCTCATTCCCATTCCAGCTTCCGGGTTCACGTCTATCCCATTCCCACTGGATATTTTTCCTGATTATGCAACCAAATTCCCAGTTTTCCTTCGCAGAGCCGAATCCTGATGGCTCCACCTCCAAATGGGAAGAAATCCACGCATCCAACAGTATCCCACAGGAATAGCTGGAAAAGCACATCCTGCTCCAAGTGCTCCTCCCCCAGCAACTTGCCAGAGCATTCCCAAAAAAAAAAAATTCCAGCCCCACCCTTCCGGGATGTCACTTCTTCTTTGCCGGAGCTTTGGAATTCCCACCGGCTTTTCCATCGGTTTTGGCGCCTCCGGATTTTCCAGCTTCGCCTTCTTTCTCCCCCTTTTTCCCTTGTTTCTTGTCGTTGGTGTCCTTTCCCTTTTCCCCCTTTTCCTTTTCCCCCTTTTCTCCTTTCCCCCCTTTTTCCTCTTTTCCTCCTTTTTCCCCTTTCTCCCCCTTTTCTCCGTCTTTTTTTTTGGCTCCGTCCTTCCCTTCCTTCTTGGATTCTTCCTTCTGCTCCTTCTCCCCGTCCTTTTTCTTGGAGCCTTTGGATCCATCCTTCTTTCCCTGAGCCTTGTCCACTTTTCCGGACACAGTGGGAACTTCTTCCTCTTTTTTTTCTTCTCCAACCTGGGCTGTTTCCAAGGAAAACAAAACAAAACAGAACAAAACAGGAAAGGAATTGATGTGGATTCAACAGCCCAGGGATTGTCAAAATTCCAGCTCCCTGCTAGAAATCTGGGATAAAGGGAAAATATTCCTACTGGGGATTTGCCCATCCAGATGATTGCTCCCGGTGAGGTTTTTTTGGGATTGAGAAGCAGCAAATCCAAGGATTGATGGATCCCCTTGGAAAAGAGAAGCCGCAGGCGGACGGGAACCAAAATTCCCTAAATTCCTTGGAGAACCATCTCATCCCATAAGGATTAATTGGAAGGACAAGGATTCAGTGGAAGGACAAGGATTTATTCATGGAATTGAGTTCAGCTCCAGAGGGAGGGCTGGGAATTCCCATTTCCCGGCACCCCTGAAATGGTGGGATTTGTGCAAATTCCCGTTGTTCAACTCCTAATTCCGCATTTTGATGGTGTAGGACTGAATTCCCCCGAGGAATTCCTGAATTCCTACAGTGGTGGGATCTGCCTCTTTTCCCACGGATTGAAGCAGCACATCCCAAATTTCGGAAATGCCGTTTTTATGGAATTACAGCTCCCGGAGAGACACAGGAAAGAAGGAGAAAAAAAGTCATCAAAAGGTGTCGAGGAAACAGGAAAAATCCAGGAATGGAGAAGCAGCAAATCCAAGGATTGATGGATCCCCTTGGAAAAGAGAAGCCACAGGCGGCTGGGAATCAAAATTCCCTAAATTCCTTGGAAAACCATCTCATCCTCTTCCTTCAGCACAGGCAGGGAGTGGAGAGGTCTGGACTGGCCGTGGCCAGAGAGAGTGAGGAGATTTTCGGGAGAGCCTATGGAATCAGGAAAGGAGAGTGAAAGCAGCGGAGAAGAAACATTCCAGCAGGAAAAACCGGGAATGTGGAATTCCAACCACGCCAGTTTCGCTCCCGGTATTCCCCAACCCAAGGGCAGGCCCTGAAATGAAATTAATTCCCACTGGGAATTTTCAGCATGGAGTTCCCCTTCTAACTAAGGAGGGTGAGGGATGGAAATTGTTGGGAAAATGGGATACGGCCGCCAGATGTCCCAGGAAAACTTTGGATTGAATATTAGGGAAAAAAATCCCTAATATGGTGTGAATAAGGATTGGGAAGCGTCGGAATCACCATCCATGGAAAGGGCTCCAAAACCCAGGAGATGTGGAATTCCACAGGATTTTTAGTAGGGTTTGGTTCAAAATAGGATTTGATGGATTTGAGAAGCTTTTTCCAAACCTAATTTGGGAATGAAGAAATGATTCCGACTCGAACTGACGGAAAAGTTCCCTCTTATCCAAAGGATTTTATCCCAGTATCCTGAGTCCATGCTGGGAGGGTTGACACTGGTGGTGGCACCACGGGAGGGACTTGGAGCTCCCAGAATCCCAAAAAAAAAAGCAGGAATTACCTCTGGAATGTCAGTGAGCTCATTGAGGGAGTTTGTGTTGCCACAATCCCAAAATAAAGTGGGAATTACCTCTGGAATGTCAGTGAGCTCATTGAGGGAGTTTGTGTTGCCACAATCCCAAAATAAAGTGGGAATTACCTCTGGGAATGTCACTGAGCTCTTTGAGGGACTTTGCACTGCCACAATCCCAAAAAAATAGTGGGAATTAACTCTGGGAATGTCAGTGAGCTCTTTGAGGGACTTTGCACTGCCACAGTCACAAAAAAATAAAGTGGGAATTACCTCTGGGAATATCACTGAGCTCTTTGAGGGATTTTGCACTGCCACAATCCCAAAAAAATAGTGGGAATTAACTCTGGGAATGTCACTGAGCTCTTTGAGGGATTTTGCACTGCCACAATCCCAAGAAAAGAGTGGGAATTAACTCTGGGAATGTTGCTGAGCTCTTTGAGGTATGTTGTGCTGCCACAATCCCAAAATAAAGTGGGAATTACCTCTGGGAATGTCGCTGAGCACTTTGAGGGACTTTGCACTGCCACAATCCCAAAAAAGGAGTGGGAATTACCTCTGGGAATTTCGGTGAGCACTTTGAGGGACTTTGCCAGAATCCCAAAGAAAGAGCGGGAATTACCTCTGGGAATTTTGGTGAGCACTTTGAGGGACTTTGCCCTGCCGGAATCCCAAGGAAAGGGTGGGAATTACCTCTGGGAATGTCGCTGAGCTCATTGAGGGACTTTGCCAGAATCCCAAAGAAAGAGCGGGAATTACCTCCGGGAATGTCGCTGAGCTCATTGAGGGACTTTGCCAGAATCCCAAGGAAAGGGCGGGAATTAACTCTGGGAATGTCGGTGAGCTCATTGAGGGACTTTGCCCTGCCGGAATCCCAAGGAAAGGGCGGGAATTACCTCCGGGAATGTCGGTGAGCTCATTGAGGGACTTTGCCCTGCCGGAATCCCAAGGAAAGGGCGGGAATTACCTCCGGGAATGTCGGTGAGCTCCGCCAGGGCCGGCACGGTGTCCAGCTGGTCGGCGTAGCCCTTGGCCGCCTGGCGCTGGGCGTAGCGCGCCTCGATCTCCTTCCGCGTGCGCGGGATCCGGCACTTGAAGATGCAGCACAGCGTGATGACTGCAACGGGAAACCGGGAATTCCGGGGACGGAACGGGAAACCGGGAATTGCGGGGAGGGAAACCGGGAATTGCGGGGAGGGAACGGGAAACTGGGAATTCCAGGAACGGAAGGGGAATGGGAAACGGGGAATTCCGGGGAGGGAACGGGAAACCGGGAATTGCGGGGAGGGAACGGGAATGGGAAACCGGGAATTGCGGGGAGGGAATGGGAAACCGGGAATTGCGGGGAGGGAATGGGAATGGGAAACGTGGAATTCTGAGTGAGGGAATGGGAATGGGAAACAGGGAATTCTGGGTGAGTTATTGGGAATGGGAAACGTGGAATTCTGGTGAGGGAACAGGAATGGGAAACGTGGAATTCTGAGTGAGGGAACGGGAATGTGAAATGTGGAATTCCGGGTGAGTTATTGGGAATGGGAAACGTGGAATTCTGGTGAGGGAACGGGAATGGGAAACCGGGAATTCCAGGTGAGTTAATGGGAATGGGAAACGTGGAATTCTGCGTGAGTTATTGGGAATGGGAAACGTGGAATTCTGAGTGAGGGGCCAGGAATGGGAAACGTGGAATTCTGGGTGAGTTAATGGGAATGGGAAACAGGGAATTCCAGGTAAGGGAACGGGAATGGGAAACGAGGAATTCCGGGTGAGTTAATGGGAATGGGAAACGAGGAATTCCGGGTGAGTTAATGGGAATGGGAAACGAGGAATTCCGGGTGAGGGGCCAGGAATGGGAAACGTGGAATTCCGGGTGAGGGGCCGGGAATGGGAAATGTGGAATTCCGGGTGAGTTATTGGGAATGGGAAACGTGGAATTCCGGGTGAGTTAATGGGAATGGGAAACTGGGAATTCCAGGTAAGGGAACGGGAATGGGAAACGTGGAATTCCGGGTGAGTTATTGGGAATGGGAAACTGGGAATTCCGGGTGAGTTATTGGGAATGGGAAACGAGGAATTCCGCGTGAGGTCCTGGGAATGGGATTCATGGAATTCCGGGGGAATTTTTGGGATCGGGAATTGAGGAATTCCGGGTGAGTTGCTGGGAATGGCCATGGGAAGGAGGAGGGGCTGGCAATGGAAATCCGGGATTTGGAATTCCCCCGTTGATTTTGGGATGGCGCCCCCTGGTGGGAGTTGGAATCCCCGCTTGGATCAGATTCCTGGATTGATTGGATTCCTTTTGTTTAATTTTATTAATATTAACCTTAATAGAAACATTAATATTAATTTATCAAATAGTCAATAATTATATTATGAGAACAATTCATTAAAACATATCTCTTATTAATTATAATGCTGTAGAAAATATTATTTATAACGTAAAAACGTATGTGTTAAATATTTATAATTTATAATATATTTATTATTATAATTACTTATAGTCACTATTTAATATTATTATAACTATAATGCTAATTAATGACATTATTATGTAAATACATTATTCCTTATAACGATATATTTCTATATATTCCTTATAGAGCAATATCTTTAGATGGAATATTTGTTTATTTAATATTTATTATTTGTTATGTATAATTATTGTAAACATTTCTGAAATTTTATATTGTTCTAATTAATTATTATAACTTGAATTATAATTAATTGTATAATAAAAATATATTAGTATTTGTAACATTGAAATATATTTAGATCAAATAAATATTATTTATTCAATATTATTTCTATTAATCTATATTAAATATTTATTATAAGTATACTATATTAAATATTTATTATAATTATACTATTATTGCTATAATTATAATTAATTCTCTTATTCAAGAAATATATTTTTATTTATGACATGGAAATATATTCCGTTACGATAATTTAATTTATTTAATTAATTCTTTTTATTTCCTTCTTTAATAAAATAATAGTTATTATAATAAAATAATTAATTATAACTATAATCGAAATTATTATGCCATGAAATACATACATTATTATTAATAAAATAGAAATATATTATTAAAAACATATAATTCAAATTACTTAATTTTATTTCCTATATTTATTATAATAATGAAAATGAAGTTATTAATTATAACTGTAATTACAATCAGTTATAACATTGTATAAACATTATTATTTATAAACATTATTATTTATAATACAGAACTCTATTATTCCATAAATATAATTTTAATTAATCCTAATACTTTATAATAATAAAAATTATTTTAAATTAGTAGGTCATCGATAAAGTAATACTCACTATAATACTAATTTAAATTATATTTACAACCCAATTACCTTTTAAGCATAATTCCTGTATTTCTATTTTATTTATGTTTATATTTGGTTCTTGTTTTTGTTTTTCAATTATTTCCATTTCTTAACTTTATAGTTTATATTTAATTCTAGTTTGAATTTACAGCTTGATATGAATTCTATTTTAAAATGCTACATTTTTGTATTAGTTTCTAATTTTTAATTTCCTATCTTATGGTTAATTTTATGTTTTCTATTTTTTGTATTGATTAAATCCTATTTTCATATTTCATTCAATGTAATATAACAGATTTACTAATTTATATTTAATTATATGTTTAAATTTCCCATTTTTCTATTTATTTTTTAATTTTATACTTTTATATATTTTTTAATTCCCCATTTTTATATTTATTTTTATATTTATTTTTATATGTATTTTTATATTTATTTTTATATTCATTTTTATTTTTCATTCCCTATTTTTGCGTTTCATTCCATTTCCCAGTTCCCCGTTTTCCATGGATTTTTCTCCATCCCAAATCCCATCCCAGGCAGGGATGGGGGCGGAGCTTGGGCCATCCTCCCTCTGCATTCCCACTGGGAAATCCCTCCGGAATTCCCACCCCCAGCTGGGAATTCCAGCCCAGAGGAATTCCCGAATTCCCGGACACCGGCAGGGAATCCAGGAAACTCCGGGATCACTCCCAGGGACAGGATGATCTTGGAAAGAGATTCCAGGTGGGAATCTCCAGTTTAGGGCTGGGACCTCCCTCTGGAATTCCCACACTCAGCTGGGAATTCCTGCCCGGAGGAATTCCCGAATTCCTGAAAGCCTGAAGGGAATCCAGGAAACTCACCCGACACATTCCACGATTCCCAACCCGATGCATTCCGCAATTCCCAACCTGCATCATTCCATGATTCCCAACCCGACACATTCTGCAATTCCCAACCCCCACCATTCCATGATTCCCAACCCGATGCATTCCACAATTCCCAACCCGACACATTCTGCAATTCCCAACCCCCATCATTCCATGATTATCAACCCACATCATTCCATGATTCCCAGCCTGACACATTCCACAATTCCCAACCCAAGGCAATGCACGATTCCCAACCCCCACCATTCCATGATTCCCAACCCGACACATTCCATGATTCCCAACCCAAGGCAATCCATGATTCCCAACCCACACCATTCCATAATTCCCAATCTGCATAATTCCATGATTCCCAACCCTCATCATTCCATGATTCCCAACCCCAGGCACTCCATGACTCCCAGCCTGAATCATTCCACAATTTCCAACCCAAGGCAATCCACGATTCCCAACCCGACACATTCCACGATTCCCAACCCCCACCATTCCACGATTCCCAACCCGACACATTCCACGATTCCCAACCCCCATCATTCCACGATTCCCAACCCCCACCATTCCACGATTCCCAACCCGACACATTCCACAATTCCCAACCCCCATCATTCCACAATTCCCAACCCTCATCATTCCACAATTCCCAACCTGACACATTCCACGATTCCCAACCCGACACATTCCACGATTCCCAACCCCCACCATTCCATGATTCCCAACCTGACACATTCCACAATTCCTAACACATTCCACGATTCCCAACCCCCATCATTCCACGATTCCCGACACATTCCACAATTCCCAACCCCCATCATTCCACGATTCCGAACCCCCATCATTCCACGATTCCCACCCCCCACCATTCCACGATTCCCAGGCCCACGGCTCCATCCCGCCTTGGGGCGGGAATGTTCTGCCGGAGCCGATTCCCACCCCGGAACGTCTCCAGGCTCTCCCTGGCGACGAATCCCCGGTCATTCCCAGCGGAGAATCCCTCCCCGCACGTTCCTGGGATCCCAGAGAGCGCCCTGGGGAGTTTTCCAGGGGAGAATTCCTGGGAATTCCGGGACTCACTGATGGAAAGGACGAAGAGGGCGAAGATCCCGACCACCTGCCAGAGGCGCAGCCCCCAGATCACCACGGTCTCCGACGTCACCGGATCCGGCTTTTTCTTCGGAGGGGCCGTGGTGGCCTGGGAAAAACCAGCGGGAAAAGATGGATCCGGGCAGCGAAATTCCCAAAAATACCCCGGGAGGCGTTGGGAGCACGGGAAATGGCGGAGAGGTTGGTGAGGGCTCAAGAATTCGGGAATGCTGGAGGGGTTTTTAAGGAATGGGAGCAGGAGGAATCTCCTTTTTCCAGCCGCTCCTTGGCTCGCTCTGGAATTCCTTTGTCCGCTTTTCCAATGGATTTTAGGGATTGGGATCTCCATCAATGAATGAGGAAATTCCTGGGAAAACTCCTGGAAAATTCCTCCCTTCACGTTCCCACTGAATTTTCATGGAAACACATCCTCGGGATGTTGGAAAGCCGCGGCTCCAGGAGGAAGCAGCATGGAATCACGTGGAAATTCCGGGATAAAAACTTGTGGAATTTCTTAATGGAAAAAATCGACTCAGCCTCAACCTAAGGGATGGAAATTGCACTAAATATTCCATGGGATTTTTAGGGAACACCTTGGAGCAGCAGCTGGAAAACAGCTGGAACACATCCGATGCCCAAAAGAAATTCCCGATTTTTTGGGAAGGGGATTTCCGAGCAATCCCGCTGCAACGAGGAGATTCCTCCAGGAATTTTATCCCGAGCTGGGAATGAAGGATTATCCCTGATTTCTCCTCCTGGGATCCAATTCCCGGAGAAATCCCTCGATATCCCGTTGTTTGCTGATCTCTGGATTTTCGGGATCACGCAGGGATTTGGGGGCACATCCTGGGATTTCAGGGTTTCGGATTTTCTGATTCTCTTCCCAAATTTTGGGAGAATTCCCAGCCCTGGGAATTTTTCCGAAGGCCTGGGAGCCTTTTCTCCATCAAATCCAAGATTTCAAGGGATTTTTGCTTCAAATATTCCCTTGCTTTTCCCCCCTTTATTTTTCCTTATCTTTGGGGTTTTTTGGGAATTTTTTTCAGCCACCAGAATTCTTTTCTTCTCCAGCTTTTTTTTCCTCCTCTGTCTGCTCCAGCCTGGCTGAGCCGGAATCGAATTATTCGGGATAACTCCATTATCCAATTATTTCCAGGAATAAACTCCTCACAGGGCTTTCATTTTTCCAGGAAAAAAAAAACCAAAAACCTGGAATAAACAAAGCAGATCCAGGAATTCTCGCTGATTATCCTGTTTTTTTGATGTTTGCGTGTTTTATTTTTAGTTTTTGGGAATTATTTGGAAAAAAAATGGGAAATTTTCCGGCTGGCTGGGTCGTCCTTGGGATTCAGGGAAGGATAATTTGGGAATTCTGCGCTGTCAGGGGAAGTTCTGCCTCATTTCTCCCCTTGGGAATGGTCGGACAGCTTGGAAAACCTGGAATTCTTCCTGGAGCAGCAGCCTGGCCTGGGAAAGGATTCCTGGATTTATGGAATGCTCAGGTAGGATGGGATGGGGAAAAGCAGGGATTCGGTCGGGAATGAGAGGCCAGAAATCCTGGAAAAAATCAGGAAAAAGGAAAGGATGAGAGACTGAAAATCCTGGGATATAAAAATATGGGAAAGGAGAGATGAGAGGTTTGAAATCCTGGGGAAAAATGGGAAAAGGAGGGAGAAGAGGCCAGAAATCCTGGGAAAAAAATATGGAAAGGGAAATCCTGGGAAAAAAATCAGGATAAGGGCAGGGGTGAGAGATTTGAAATCCCAGGAAAAATGAGAAAGGAGGGATGAAAGGCCAGAAATCCTGGGAAAAACATAGAAAGGGAAATCCTGGAAAAAACGGGATAAGGGAAAGGATGACAGACTGGAATACTTGGAGGAAAAATATATGGAAAAGGGAAAGGGATGAGAGGGTTGAAATCCTGGAAAAAAATATGGAAAAGGAGGGAGAAGAGGCCGGAGAGGCTGGAAATCTTTTGGAAAAATAAATCTGGATAAGGGCAGGGATGAGAGGCCAGAAATCCCGAGGGAAAAGCGTGGAAAAGGGGAAGGATGAGAAGCTTGAAATGCTGGGAAATCCCTGGAATTTTCCAATCCCAGAAATCGCAGCCAAATGTTGCTCCAGGAATTCCCAGGCGGAGCAGGGAAAAGGATCCAGAGGGGGGAAAGTGAAAGTTTTTGGGAAGTGGGATTTGTGCTCCGGGCAGGAATTTCCCTCTGGAATTGCAGCCAGGGCTCGGGAGCCGCTCTTCCCTCCCGGAGCATTCCCGCTTTTTCCATAAATTTGGGAATGCAGAGTCATCCTTAGGGAAAAGCTACTGTGGAGGGGCAGGAATTCCCTGAAATCCCACAATTCCATGAAATCCCACAATTCCATGGAATTCCACAATTCCACGAAGCCCAACGCTATCGGGAATGAGGGAAGGCAGGAGAAGGAAAACCCATCCCAAAGATTTCCAAAAGTTTCCAAATATTTCACGGGAATATCCATCAGGAATAGGATTTTTCAGGATCATTTTTGCCCTGCTCCTCAGACCGTTGAAAAACCAGGAAAACCCCGCGATTCCAACCCGAAATTCCCGATTCAGCCTTTCAGGAAGCACCAAAAATTCCCAAAAAAACCCTCCTTGGATCCACCTTAAATCGCCGGCCGCTCGTTTGCCAGCGAGATCTCCCATTCCCGGCCCTCATTCCCACTTTTCCCGAGGGTTTTTCCAGCGGGATGATTATTTTGTGTTTTGTTTTCCCTCACCTCGATCAGCTGCGCCAGGGAAAGTCGGGATGGGAGCAGGACGAGGCAGGAAAATCCCAAAAATTCCCAGCCGGGATCCCACGCCATCTTCTCCTCCCTGCCGGGATTTTCCACCTCCTGCCCAGCCTGGGATATTTGATTTTTTATTATTATTTTTTTTTTGGGAATTTCGGGAAAAGTGCCGGCCTGGCTTTTCCCAGCGGCGCCCTGGGAGCGGCGGCGGGCGCCGTTAATGAATTAATTAGTTAATGAGGCGGTGTCGCTGACGGAGCCCCGCGAGGGGGGAGCGGGAGCTCCGCGCAGGATTCCCGACTCCGCCGATTCCACCTTCGCTGTCCCGGCTTTTCCCGGTTCTCCCGCTCCTTTTCCAGGTTTTTTGTCAAATTTGTGGTTTTTCCAATTTCCCCCCATTTTTCCCCCATTTTAGCCCCCATTTCCCCCCATTTTTTCCCCCCTTTATTCCCATTTTTCCCCATTTTCCCCCCCTTTTTTCCATTTTTTATCCCATTTTTCCCCATTTTCTCCCAGTTTTTTTCTATTTTCCCTATTTTTTTTCCATTTTTTAATTTTCCCTATTTTTTTTCATTTTTAGAATTTTTACCCATTTTTCCATTTCCCCCAGTTTTTTTTCCATTTTCCTCCCATTTTCCCATTTTTTTCCATTTTCCCCATTTTTCCCCATTTCCCCCCAGTTTTTCCCATTTTTTCCATTTTTCCCCAGTTTTTTTCTATTTTCCCTATTTTTTTCCATTTTAAAATTTTTACCCATTTTTCCATTTACCCCCAGTTTTTTTTCCATTTTCCTCCCATTTTCCCATATTCTTTTCCATTTTCCCCATTTTTCTCCATTTCCCCCCAGTTTTTCCCATTTTTTCCATTTTTACCATTTTTCCCATTTTTTCCCCAGTTTTTTTCTATTTTCCCTATTTTATTCCATTTTTAAAATTTTTACCCATTTTTTCCATTTTCCCCCAGTTTTTTTTCCATTTTCCTCCCATTTTCCCATTTTTTTTCCATTTTCCCCATTTTTCTCCATTTCCCCCCAGTTTTTCCCATTTTTTCCATTTGTCCTATTTTTCCCATTTTCCCCCAGTTTTTAATATTTTTCCCATTTTCCCCTTTTCCCCCCATTTTTTTCCCTTTTCTCCCCCTGTTTTCCTTTTTTTTCCCATTTTCCCTCATCTTTCCCCATTTTCCCCATTTTTTTCTTTTTTCTTTTTACTTTTTTTTTTTTTTTTTTTTTTTTTTTTCTTTTTTTTTTTTTTTTTTTTTTTTTTTTTTTTTTTTTTCCCTTTTTTGTTTTTCTCGGGTTTTTTTCCCCAGTTTTTATTTTTATTTTTC